GTGAATTCAGGCAGTCCCCGACTTACGCGGATCCGACTTATGTCGGATCCGCACTTACGAACGGGGCTTTCTCGCACCGGAGCTTGCAGGCAGCGGTCAGCCACCTCGACCTCCGGGGCGAGAAAAGCTGCTCCTGGTGCCCCTGGTCTGCTGGGGACCGTCTCCAGCAGACCAGGGGCACCGCGAGCAAACCCGCCGGGGCTGCGGCTTTGCTCCCGATGCCCCTGGTCTGCTGGAGACGGTCCCCAGCAGACCAGGGGCACCAGGAGCAGCTTTTCTCGCCCCGGAGGTCGAGGTGGCTGACCGCTGCCTGCAAGCTCCGGTGCGAGAAAGCCCCGTTCGTAAGTGCGGATCCGACATAAGTCGGATCCGCGTAAGTCGGGGACTGCCTGTATTCAAGAAGGAACACCAGACATATGACAATGTACTCCTTCACTATTGATTAATAATTACAATTTTCATTGTCCCACACCACCACAATTCAAGTATTAAAATGTGAAGAAGTGTTCACTGCTTGGTATCTTGGGAGTTTGGTCTTGCTTCCCCTGAAGTCAATAGAATGTTACCATTGTGTTTTGTCTTCACTTAGGACAAAAGTAAGTCCTTGTATTGGTCTCTGCACAGAAATTATACCAATTTAACCAAAGCTATTTCTAAATAAATGTACACAAAAGATCCAATAATTTAATTAAATCGATTTAGGAAACGGCTAAATTGGCACAATTTCTGTAATATAGGCTGAGACTATGTTTTGTTTTCAATTGGAAAACAATAGTTTTATATTAACATAACTGCATTCTAAAAGGAAACCAATTTCACACGTGCTTGCTTCATATTTTTCTGTTACTGTAGTTTCTGTGAAATTCTTTTGAAATTGTGTATTCTTGGTTATAGTAATAGTGAAGATTAATCTTTAGAAATAGGATAGAATTTAATCTTTGTTAGTAGGATGAAATTGATTTTAATGGAGTTACACTGATTTATATTAGCTGAAGATCTTGCTCATTCTTACCCAAACAGCAAAGATTCAATCCTCTAATTTGGTAAGTCCCCAAGACTTAGTGAAGCCACCAAACTTTCAACATGAGTCATCAAATTAGACAGCTGCTTATGATAATAACATAAGAATGGCCGTACTGGGTCAGACCAAAGGTCCATCTAGCCCAGTAGCCTGTCTGCCGACAGTGGCCAGCACCAAGTGCCCCGGAGGGGGTGGACCGAAGACAATGATCAAGCAATTTGTCTTGTGCCATCCATCTCCAGCCTCTGACAAACAGAGGCCAGGGACACCATTCCTACCCCATCCATGAATTTATCTAGCTTCTCTTTAAACTCTGTTACAGTTCTAGCTTGGGAACTAATGAATAACTTTTCTTTATTCACCCTCTCTACACCTCTCATGATTTTATATACCTCTATCCTATCCCCCCTCAGTCTCTTCTTTTCCAAACTGAAAAGTCCCAGCCGCTTTAGCCTCTCTTCATAGATATCAAATCTATGCACAAGAGGATAGAGCTGAGAACACTTCTCATTGGAAACACCGCTGTCAAACTTCTATGTCATAGGCATCTGAAGCCTGTGCTTGATCATATATCAATTTTTATCAGGTAAGCAAAAAGCTATCACTATTCGTCATACTTCATCCTTTTATTTGCCCAATAAAACAGCTTATCATGTTTTTAGTCAGTAACCTCCTGGTTACAGAATTATATTTACATTATTGCTTGGGGCAACAAAAAAAAACAACCTTTTCCTTGTTTATCTGCTAGTTCTTTAGGAAAGTATGTCAGCACTATATCAGTTCTAGCTTGACAAAAGGTTACAAGTGTGAAAAAGCATGCAGTTTGAACATTTCATTTAGTAGAAGGCTTTACATTAATAATTACAGTAAACTTATTATTCAGCAAGTGATCATTGCTGTTCTTTCAATGGTATAATATTTGTGGTAATAAAAAGAAGTCTCAGGTACAAGTATAGCTTATCAAATGGACGGCTCGACATAAAAAGGAGTGCATGGAAATGCCACCTAAGGTACCTAAATCCAAAATGTAGATCCCCAAAAATCCCCTCTCAGCTGCCACCAAATCCTGTAGTTTCCAACATTTCCTAGGCACCTAAGTTTCTGCTAATAAAATTCCCTGGTACCTGAAAGTGCACACAAAAAACCCAAGTGCATACACAAAACTGTCTCAGGTTAGCACACTGCTTGGTTCCTAGCTCGCGAGTAAGCCTTGGTGGCATTTGCAGGTTAGGTGTCTCCTATCTGATCTGCAGGTCCTGATCTGAGATGTTCTCAGAGCATGCCTAATCCACACAGAACACAGCTGAGGAAGAATAGCCTAGTGGTTAAGGCAGGGATGGGCAATTTTTGATGGGGGGGGGGGGGAAACTCCAAGATTTTGGTTAGTGATCAAGAGCTGCACTTTTATATAGAGGGAGTGTGGGTCTGGGACAGAGGTTGAGTGCAGAATGGAGCTTAAGGTAAGGGATTCAGGTGCAAGAGAATGTGGGGTCTGAGACAGAATTAGGGTGAAGGAGGGAGTTATGACCTGGGACAGAGAATTGCACTGCAAGATCCGGGAGGGGGTATGGGTTCAGAAGAGGATTCTGACCTGGGGGAGGAATATAGGAAGGGCTTCAGGATCTAGCACGGAGTTCTAACCTGGGGCAGACAGGTTCAGAGGGTCTGGGTGATGTCCCAGGGTAGGAGATTGGGGTGCAGAGTCAGAAAGGAGATATGGGGGCAGGAGAGAATTCTGGCCTTGGGGAGAAGTGTAGGAGTGGGTGCAGGGTCTAAGAAGGAGTTGTGCTCTGGGGGAGGAGGAGTGCAGAGAGTTTAAGTGGTGACCAGGGGCAGGGAGTTGGGGTGCAGGGTGCCAAATGCAGACTCTGGCTGAGAAGTGCTTACCTAGGTGGCCAATAGCCCAGTGGGACCCTCAGGCAGCCTCCATGTGCCTCTCTCCACCAGACACAGCAAGGGAGGTACTTCATATTCTGTCCCCGATCCCAGCACACACAGCCTCTGCCTCCCTGGCACATGGAGCAAGCACCCAGTCAATTTGAGTGGCCTAGGGCTGTGACAGGCAAGGAGTCTGTCTGGAGTCCTAGTGGAGCAGTCTGTGGGCTGGATCGAAAGGTTTGGTGTGCCAGATCTGGCCTGCCCCTGGGTTAAAGCATTCACCAAGTGTGGGAGATAGATTCAAATCCTCACTTTGCTCAATGTGGAGCAGGGAGTTGAATCCACATTACACATTTTCTAGGTGAGTACCCTAACCAGTGGGTACTCACATGCCCATCTACTCCTAATATTTATAATCTTCTCTAGGGTTTTCCCTTCGTACATTTTCTGGATGACCAGATTGGACTCATCATTATGGAACAAGAGAATATTCTAAAAGTAGCAACATATATGAAGCACATTTCCATGTCTCAATATTCTGCTGAAGCATACAATCAAACCAGCAGAACCGTTGACTTAAATTTTTATTTTCAGTTATCAGTAAGCAGAAAACTAATTCAGCAAATCCATAATAATGGTTCAAAATCACAATAAACTGCCATTAGGAGTCTCAGTAATTTTATCTAGTTTCAGGATCTGGAAAGTATTACATTTTTCTATGAATAACTTTTCATAGAAAAGAGTTTCATATTGTCCTCAGGAATTTCCTTCTTTACGAGAAGTCCCTAAGAAGTTCAGATTAGGTTGTGTTATTTTTTCCTACTTTTTTTCCCCCTCCACACAGATTTTGCTCAGAAATGCAACTGCCTTTTCACTTTCAGAATGCTTAAATCAAATCCCTGATGTGATCCCTCCAGTATTTTTAACTG